GTGACTATGGTTTGGGGCCAACCCCTCAGACTGAGGTCATGGATTTAGACCCCAGGCCTCCCATTCTCTGCATCTATACCCCACAGGACAAGGTGTTCTGGACAGACCTGGAGAACGAGGCCATTTTCAGTGCAAATCGGCTCAATGGCCTGGAAATCTCCATCCTGGCTGAGAACCTCAATAACCCACATGACATTGTCATCTTCCATGAGCTGAAGCAGCCAAGAGGTGAGCTGTCTCTGGTCCTAGGTCCCAGGTCCCCTGTCTGTGTCCTCTCCTTTCACCAGGCAGGCTGTGTTCACATTCAGGTCACAACTCAGCAACCCCAGAAATAATAACAACAATCCCTCTTGTTGGTAGAGTACTTTTTCATCATATATTTTGTCTCATTTTACCTCAAGTTCTTTGTGAAATAAGGCTGGGTATAAATTAATACATAAATGTCCTGTTCTTGCCAATCCTACAAAGTGTGGGTATTACTCTTCTAACAGTTGAGGAAATGGAAGCTCAGAGAGGTAAAATAATGTTAGCAGGTGGCAGAACTGAAACCTAAACCCAGGTCTGTCTGGTTCCAAAGCTGCTTTCACCATGACACATTGCATCTAACTTGCTATTTGGAGCCATTTTGCAGTAGTATAAGCTAATGTATCCAAGGGCCATATAATAAGTCAGCTTATTGGTTGGGAATAGAATCTAGGAATCCTACTAGTAGGTTGTCCCCTCCTCTATCACTAGGATATGCTAATTCTAACTAACTGAAGTGTTGGCTGCCAGGGTGAAAGTGGGAAAGCAAGGGAGTGTAAGGAGATAAGATTGGTGCCTGATTCTAGACCTAGAAATTTAAATGAGAGACCTAGTATGTGGCACATGGAAAAACAAAAACCACGGGCTTATGGGCTTTGGAGCCCAGCAGACCTCAATTTAAGTTCTATCTCTAGTCCAGACATGGTGGCTCATGCCTGTAATCCCAACACTGAGAGGCTGAGGCAGAAGGATCCCTTGAGCCCAGGAGCTCCAGGCAGCAGTGGGCTATGATTGCATTACTGCACTCTGGCCTGGGTGACAGAGCAAGACCCCCATCTTTAAAAAAAAAAAAAAAATTCCTAGAGGATAGCTTTGACGAGTTTGTTCTCTTTGAGCCTAGGTGTCTATCTGTCACTCTGGGATGTAACGTGCCCACCTCTCAGAATTGTTGCAAGGATTAAATGAGAGTGTGGGGATAAAACACTAGGTATGGTGCTGGAAAGTACCCAATAAAAGTAGTAGGGAGGCCGGGCATGGTGGCTCACACCTGCAATTCCAGCACTTTGGGAGGCCAAGGCGGGAGGATCACTTGAGCCCAGGAGTTTGGGACCAGCCTGGGCAAGAAGGCAAGACTCTATCACTACAAAAACTATAAAAATTACCCTGGTGTGTGGTGGCATGCATCTATAGTTCCAGCTACTGGGGAGGCTGAGGTGGGAGGATTTCTTAAGCCCAGGAGTTTGAGGCTGCAGTGAGCTATGATTGCACTGCTGTACTTAGCCTAGGCAACAGAGTGAGACCCTGTCTCAAAAAATAAAAAATAAAAAACATTTAAAAAGTAGAAGGGCTTCACAATTGCAGAGATGTAGAACTAACCTAAGTGTCCATCAACTAATGAGTGAATAAAGAAAATGTGGCATATATACACCTTGGAATACTACTCAGCCATAAAAAGGAACAAAATAATGTATTTTGCAGCAACCTACATGGAGCTGGAGGCCATTATTCTAAGTAAAGTATGATAGCAGTGGAAAACCAAAAACTATATGCTCTCATTTATAAGCAGGAAATAAGCTATGAATACACGGGGCATACAGAGTGATATAATGGACTTTAAGACTAAAAATGGGGAAGGTAGGAGGGGGGCTAGACATTAAAAAAAGAAAAAAACTACACATTAGGTACAATGTACACTACACTTGGGTTATAGGTGCACTAAAGTCTCAGAATTCACCACTATATAATCATCCATGTAACAAAAAACAATGTGTACCCCAAAAGCTTTGGGGGAAGAAAAGAAAGAAAAAGAAAAAAATATATGAAAAAAAAGTAGTAGGGCAAGCTTTTTGAGCAAGCCAGGTGGGAGAGGCCTCATCCTCAGGAGGCAGGAATACCTGGCATGTCCTGTCTGTGCCCCAGCTGTCTCCCTCTCTGCCATTAGCTGCAGATGCCTGTAAGCTGAGTGTCCAGCCTAATGGAGGCTGTGAGTACCTGTGCCTTCCTGCTCCTCAGATCTCCAGCCACTCTCCCAAGTACACGTGTGCCTGTCCTGACACAATGTGGCTGGGTCCAGACATGAAGAGGTGCTACCGAGGTAAGCAGACCTTCCCGGAGGGATGGCCCCTGGCAGTGTCAGACCCTACCCTGCTGAAATCTTCCCTTGGCTTCTGGGACACAGTATGCTGCTGGTTTTCTTCCATCTTCCCTGGCTACTTGTTGCCTTTTTGGGGTTTCTCTTTTTTACCTTCCTTGAATGCTCATGCCCCCAGGATCCTTCCAAAGCTTTTTCTCACTCCCAAGGAAAAAATGCATGTATACATAAAATATTTTAAATTCAATTTCAGGGAGTTTCTGGAACCCTTTAAAAGCCTCAAATTAAGAACCCTTAATCTCCATGGCTTCGGATACATGCAGATAACTATGTACTTGCCTGTTTCTCACCTAGAACTTAACAAACACTACACAGAAGCCCTTTTGCAATATGATGGGGACTAATAGTTAATACTTCAACTGCATACACAGATTCATGTCCCAACCTTGATGTATAGCCAAGACCTTTCATTTGAGCCTAAGTCTACTGCATTATTACTGATTTACAGGTTCAATTGTTTAAAGTGGAATAAGACTTTAAATCTATTGGTATAACAATATGAGTGTAAAATCCTTCTAGATTTATCTGATTTCCCCTCCCTGCAGTCTTTTTATTGCTGGTCTTACAACTAATTCCACAGCAGTGTTTTAATGACTCATCTTTATTGAATCAAAGTGAAGTGCTTAGCATTCAGCTAAAGAAAAGATCATAGCCCACCGGGGAGATTAGGAAAGGCTTCACAGAAGTGGCATTTGAGCTACACCATGAAGATATGTTCCTAAGTATAACTCAGAGGCAATAACTTAGGCAACAAAATTATCTGTCCAAGTGACCTCCATGGTATTTCCCCTCCAGCACCTCAATCTACCTCAACTACGACGCTACCCTCTACCACGAGGACAGGACCTGCCACCACAAGAGCCCCTGGGACCACCGTCCACAGATCCACCGACCAGAACCACAGCACAGAGACACCAAACCTGGCAGCTGCAGTCCCAAGCTCAGTTAGTGTCCCCAGGGCTCCCAGCATCAGCCTGTCTACCCTAAGTCCTGCAACCAGCAACCACTCCCAGCACTGTAAGGAAATGAGTTCTGCATTCTTTCATGACATGAGAGGGCTCCTAGGGAAGCCAGGATGGCGGGTATGTGATAAGAGAGAACCTACCAGAGCTGAATACTGCATATCTTTGAGGAGGTTACTGCATATCTGAGAGGGAGGTAGAGTACCAACCTGCGATTTAGGACTCCTAGGTGCCCCTAACTTACAGAGGGTCTGGCAGGAAGCTGAGAACCTGTGAACCTCAGTTGCTTCTCTTACAAAGTGGAAAGAACCACCCTTCCACAACCTGCTTCACAAGATTGCCATGATAGACAAAGGCGTAACCGGTGTACCGGAGGTGCTCACACACACAGCCGTTGCTGACTCTGCGAGGGTGTGTGTGTCTGTTTCACAAAGTTCTGGTGTGTATATGAGGAGGTGTCCCTTGTGTTTGGAAAGCTCTGATCTCAGTTCCCAGAAGGTCCCCAGATAGTAATATCTACAACCATGGTCTCCTCATACCTCTTTCCAGACCTGGGATGAAAATAATTAAGTTCACCACTTATTAAATCATTGGGAGCAGTAATTGTCACTGCTAGAAATGTTCTATCTCATTAATCAGCAAATACTTTTTTAATTGAGTCACCTGCCAGAGGGAGTTCGTTTAAAAGGATAAACTATCTTTTTAATTTTTTCCTCTACATGGACAGCCCAGAAGCCAAGCTACTTGGCAGCATCTTCCTAATTGGTGCTATTTTGCCAGCGGAAGCTGGCTTTTTGGAGTGGAGCACTTACTCCGAAGTTTGCAGAGGCAGACGGAGCATGTGTGAATTCCAGTTCCTCTTATCCAAGGGCAGAGCCTCTCACCAGCTTCTCCTCACTGGCTTCCTCATGCTCTAGGTTTTAATATCACTGTCCAGTGTTCACTGTGGACCAGACAGGGGAGGACAGCAGCATTTCCACAGTTAGCTCTGGAAGCAAGCAGTGCAGCCTTTTTCTCCCCTTAACTGTTACATTCTCTTGGAGTAACATGGATAAACAGTCACACTGAGAGAGGATGGGCCTTGGGCCATTGCCAGGGCCAGTCATCTCCTCACCTGCAGCAAATGTAGATGATAGCTCCTTTTCACACCACAGGGAGCTGTCAGGAGGATCTAAGGGAAAAATGCTTTCTGAACTATGAAGTGCTTCACAAATGTTACAATGAAGATGGTTGTAAGAGTGAGGAAGATGGCATGGCATAGTTTTTCAAAAAGACAGTAAATTTCCCAAGCAGTTTTCAGTTTAAAATGTGCTTTTACATACCTTTTTAAAATTTAGACCCTACAACAACCCCTATCCCACTCCTAGAACTAGGCAAAGTTGTGCCAAGCATTTTATATTCATTTTAGATAAATTATTTCATTTAATCCTTACCATATCCCTAGGAGGTAGGTAATATCACCATTTGAAAGATATAAAAGTATAATATCATGTGCTGTATTTATAATATATAATAATTTGCCCAAGGTCACATGGGTAGTGAGTAGTAGAGCTGGGACTTGAACCCAGAAGTCTGACACAGAAGACTGTGCTCTTGGTTCCTCTACACTATACTATGTCCCATTTCAATTACTTATGAAAAATAATCTGATAATGCAGATGGACAGACAGCTCACCAAAAACAATACTGGCAAAGCAACAGATACTGATGGAAAAAGGCAAATGACCTAGTCCATCAGCAACACAAAGACCTAAGTGCTCACCTTACCATGCACAGCCCCCAGCTTCCTACCACTATGATGCTGTGGAAAGGTTATGGGACTTGGGGCAAGAGTCCTGGGTTCGAGTCCCAGCTCTGCCACTTTTCTGTGAGTCCCCAAACCCCTCAGTTAAGACTCAGTTTCCTTGCCTGTAAAATGGAGATAACCTCTGTCCTGCTTGCCTCACAGGAGTTGTGATAGGATCTGGAAAGACTGAATTATTAGGCAACAGCCAGGATCATCATTTTAGAATGAGGATGAGAAGCAGTTGGGTAGTTGTTACCACTTGAGGCCAGTAGGGGCTTGGACACACAGTGACAGAGCATCATTCTGCAAATGTTTGTGTTTTACAGATGGGAATGAAGACAGTAAGATGGGCTCCACAGTCACTGCCGCTGTTATTGGGATCATTGTGCCCATAGGTGAGTGTGGCTCCCAGTCACTGAAAAGAGAGACCCTGCTCAGGCCTAGGGAAAAGCGCTGGCAGGGTAGAGAACTTGGCCTGCCCTGTTGACTTGTTCTGCCCTTGCAGCCTTCCTGCCCACCTCCCAGTCCTGATTTAATTTTGTTTTTTAGCCTAGCACACAAGGCTCTTCAGGATCTGGCCCCAGGTGACCTTCCAGGTGCATCCCCCATCTCCTCACCCCTCGATTCACACTCTACACTCCAGCCACGTGAAGTGTGACTGTATGATCCCTAGGAATAGGGCTGGTATCTTGCTCACCATTCTCCCCAGCTCCTAGCAATGTCTGGCACATGGTAGGAAATCAAGGATTTGTTGAATTAATGAATAGAGCTGCTTACC